CGGGCGGCTGCCAGGGAGCGCCCAACCCCGCGGCGAGGGCGGGGGTTGGGCCGCCCGGGCACCCTCTTACCCGGCGTGGATCCACTGCATGGGCGAGCGGCGGATTTCCAAAAAAACAACCCCAAAAAGTCTCTTATTACCGGCGACAGCGAGTATTGGCGCAGTCGTGTGATAAATTTACGTTAGGAGTTTGCGTTGGCGAAAGAAAACCCCAAGGCACGCGTGTCGTAAGCGGTGGCTAAGGCTTGCCAGGTATTATAGCCGTCGTCGGGAGCTTGTGACACGGGCCGAGCGAACCCGCCCGCACGAAGGAGAAAACAAAACAAAGCGAGAGGCACCTGTACAGGTGAAATTCAGTGCCTTCAGATCTGAATCTAAAACCACACACGAAAAAAAACCTCTGTAATGTTCCAGTTGGGCAACAGTTCCACAGGTTTTAATCTCAGTGCAGGCTGCTACCCAGTGAGCCCAATAGGTGTCTTTGCTGCTGCTTGCCTGGTCATATGGTCTCCTTCCTTTTTTTATTTTTAAAAAGTAGTTCATCTTTGTTAGTTGCCTGGTCTGATCCACCTCTTGGCTACGTGATTGCTGGGGCTGGCAGAGAGCTGGCAAGAGAAATGTACAGACCTATGGGTGGAACCACACGTTTTCTGCTGTTGGCGTAAAGCAGTCCTGCAGCCGCAATGTCAGGTATCCCGAAAGCACGAAGAGCAGAGAGCCCAGCGCCTTCGCCTGCTCCTCCTGCTTTCTGCCTCAGTCTCCCCAAAGCTTGCAGGACAGGCAAGCCTCTCTGTCTCTCAATGTCTCTCTGGCATTGCTGGCGCTTTTTGAGGAAGGCTGATCTCTTTTTTTCCCCAGTCCTATGAAAATGCCAATCGTTATCGGTTCCAAGTTGCTGCTGTTCGGCAGTCTGGACTGGAACAGGCCTAGACTGCTTCGTGCAGCTGCTTCCTCTAGGCCTTTGGAACCCTTGTGAGCAATATATCTACCCAAATCATCACTCCTGTAATAAATGCGAGTCTTGACTAAGCAGTCGGGGCCTCCTCCCGTCATCACCGATGGTTTCAAAGAAAATGCCACTGCTAATGCCTTTTATGTTCTCTTTTTATATTAGCTACCACTTCGGCTGCCTGTCCTTTTGTGTTGTCACTCATTATGGGTCTCCTGTTTTGCCTATGAATAGACCTGTCACTTGTGCTTGTTTTATTGCTATCTAATTTTTAATCTTCAGGAGTCGGATGTATCTTGCCTTTCCTATGGCAAGTTTGCACTGGCAGCTTGTGTCTGACAATGCCCACGTGTATCAGTAATCAATACCAAACAGAATCAAAACAGAAGTGTTGATGTTATACTTGAATATGCTGTATTCCCACACTGAGTGGCAAGATTGATTGAAAGTCATAGCACTGCCTTTTATCTTTTGGAAGTTGTTTTTTCCACTGCCTGCGAATGAACTCTTGCTACAGGAAACAGATTGTGAAACTGGCTCCCAGGCTTAAACTCCAGATTTCAGCTCTTTGTTTGATAGGTTTTGCTGCAGCGCTTCGGTAATGGAGATGAAGGTGGCTTTATTCTTTTTCCAAATCAAATCTCTGCAGTTTTCCGATACTGGGTCAAGCTTCTGTATGTAACACAAGACTTTGTGGAAATCAAGGTCAAAGGCTACAAGCAGAATTAATCAGAGCCTGAAGTTAGGGGAATGCGGTTGTTTGATCTGTGCTTTCACTGCCTGAAGTTAATATGCTTGTTTTGATCCCTAAAAAGTGGATAAGAGAAAAGCAGAATTATGAAGGAAACAATCTGGCAACTCATCCAGAATTACAGCATTCGGGTTTTTAAAATGATAAGATGAAGTAAAACAATTTTATGGCTGTTTTAAACCTTGGTATTTCCTTCCTTGATTATTTATCAACTTCCTTCTTTTAAATAAATAAATAAATAAATAAAAAGGGAATAGCTGCTTTCATAGCTGCTTGCAAATTATATGCAACTTCAAATTTATTAAAACAAATAATAAAGTTATTCGGAGGAAGCAAAATTCGGTGACTCCTGTTTTACGGAGAGACACCAGAAACCCAGAGGCTTCTCCTGTACAGTCTTTGAACTGAAGCCCAGCCTTCAAGCCCAGGCACATGTATCATCTCAACAGACTGGCCTCACTGATCAAGCAAGCTCTAGCATAAGGCGTTGGAGAAAGCTCGGGCCTGTTTTACTTCTCAGCACATGCCTGAACATCTGTAGTGTGGTCTGGGCTAGCATGGGCTGGGAATATACGTCTGAACCAAACTCAGGTCAGCAGGGATGAGTAAGATGCTTTCTTCTTAGAAGGGCAAATCTTCCCATCGGAAAGACTACGGAATAGTTTTATGCCCAATGTCCACTTCAGTTCGAGGGGATCTAGATCTTTAGGTCCTGTCCTAGGTGCTTAGATGTCCTTGGAGGTGGAAGGGAAGTAGTTACCGAGTTCTCTGCAGGTGTTTCCTTGCCAGAAAAGAAGGCAGAGATGTGGGGTTTGAAAAAAAAGAAAGAGGCACCACTCTGTAGCCATAGCCATTTACCTAGGAGAGAGGACTTCTGGTTTCTGGCACCTATTCCCAAGTCAGTGTTGCTTTTTTATCCAAGGAATATTTGCTGTAAAAATGCCCGAATAGAACCCAGGATTCTCTTCAGAGGCTAAACTAGATGACAGAGATGCATCCTGTTTTACTTTGTCTTTTGCCTCAGCTGCCTTCTCCCTGTCCTAGACCCTGACAGGCTTGTGTGGATAGGGTCATAATTTCAAACGAAAAGGTGGTGACACCCTATTTCCTTCCTGGTCTTCCTCCTCCCAGGCCAGCATGGTGGTCGGGGATGTGGCATGAAAGCTCCCCAGGAAAGCCATTGAACTCCCACTTCCTGGCCAGGGCTCTAAACCACTGGGTAACAGCATCAGGGAGATGGACACAACTTCCTCTTGCTACACTTTACAAGAAAATGAACACTGTGTATTGGGAGTCTTTTATTTGCTGACAGCCAAATAGGCCTTTTAAACACCTTTGGCAGGCCATGTACTAACACAGACCTTTGTATTTTGCAGCAGTAACAGAAAGAATAATGCTGTGGCCTGCATCCCTGTGAAATGAAGTCACAGAGCAAAGAAACTACAGGAGTTCCTCATTCGTTCTTTCAAAGAGCAGATTTTGGCAGCCACCACCAGAAAAGGACTCCGAATCCCGAGAGGACAAGGGTGCCGCGCACCAGAGAAAGGTGGGAATTCGCACACATCCATGCTCACAGTTCTACCCCTGCACATCTCATTAGCTCCCCACTGAGCACACTGCTTCTTTTGGCGCTGTACCCACTCCTCTTCCAAGTTCAGGGAAGGAAAGCCTCTCAACCCAACTCAGCACAGGGCCCTCATGCTACAAAGGCAGGTGTCCTGGCACCTGAATCCCTTATGGGTCCCTTTGCTCTATGACTTAGGTAGGCAGGATTTATGCAGGAACAAGACATGAAAATTTTTAGTCCCTAGAGACCCACATTTGTACTCAGAAACTGTGTTTCAAGGTAACAGTGGATAAAGAGCTCTTGGATAACTGATAATCAATTGAAGTTCCTTTTTATATATGCAACCTTTTTTCAGGGCTTTATAGCATAGACTTGCTCAGGTTTTTCCCGTGTCTTAGAAGTGATGCCAGTTTAAATATACAGCTATGAGAAGCAAGTATCCTGTTGCATAGCTTTGAATGTCGTAACAGTTTCCTGGACCTCTCCAGATGCAAGTAATGATGTAGCTTTTGTGTATTTTCTTAGGAGGACTGAGTTTTATATGCAAACAATATTTGGCATCAATACTTACAATACTGTGCTTGTCAAGGACATGTAGTGTGGATTTCTTGATGTTGCTATGAGTATTTTAAGTTCTGGAAAGATATGATATTATTTAAAGTCGTTCTTTAACACAATAGTCATCAAAAATAAGGTTGATGAGTTGCTGAAACTGAAATCTGTTTGCACATTTGCTGTATCTTTAACAACAATTGACTTCAGGGGTTATTTCTTGCCAGGAGTGAAACCTATCTTTTTCTTATTAATAGCTTTCTTTTGGCTGTATTTTTTCCTTAGGTTGCCTAACACAAAAATGAATGGAGTTCTTGTTCTCTGCCTTGCACCTAGTTATCAGGAGCAAGGGAGAATATGAAAAGAAAATGAAGGGGTGGCAGTAGGTAAAAGGAGACAGAACCTATAAACAATTATTCTCTTTGTGTTTCTCAGCTCTTCCATGTCACGACTTTGTAGATATCTGGCTGAAAATCTACCTCCTCCTCCATCTGCAGGCTAGGTTAAAGGATGATGGATGAGAGGAGACTGACACTTTCTCTGAGAAAGTATTGGTGAAAACACAAGCTTACTTTGAAAACAAATTCCAAAGCAATAGTGGGGCATCACATAGCACAATCAGGCCGTTTCATCTACCTAGAGGGCAAGTTGCAACATCCAGAACCATCTTTCAGTGATCCCATTAAAGACATAAAAGACATATCCCATTTGAGACATAAAAGAAGAAAATTATCCTACAGTAAGTGTTTACTGTGAATAAGTCAGTGCCTGCAGTAACTAACCCCTACCCCATTGTATTTCTTCACTGTAATTGTCACTTCAACCCACACTCATATTTGCCCTACCTTACCCTAATATGTCTCTCTCTTTCTGCATTTGCCCTCCTATTCTGTGATTATTCTGTCTCTATGCTGAAACATAGTCTTCTATAGTGAAAAAGATTTCTTGTAAACCTTCCCTTTCCACAACAGCCAGGTCTTCCTCTTTTTAATCAAGGTTTGATAGCCAGAGTCAATAATTTCCTTCTGCCTTCTGATCTGTTAGGATTGCTCAGCTCTCTGGAAAACTGTGAGAGCTGCTTCCAACCTACAGGGCAAAAGCAGTTTGCTCAGATGGCTGAAGTGACAGAGCTGAGCAGCTATAAATGGGAGGAAGCAGGATGGCCTCAGCAGCACAGAATAGCTCTGAGGAGGCAAAGTAACATTTGGCATCCTTCAAGGAGAGCACTGAGGAGAACCTTTTTAATTTCAACATCAGTTAGTGTACTAAGAGCAAAGAGCATCTCTTGGAGCTGGATCCTACACATGAAGGGAAGGAACTTGATAGTTATTTTCGTGTGGGAGAAAATGTCTCTTTTCACTGCTCAAAAAAGCCCAACTTTTTATGCTACAAGAGAGAAAGAGAAATAAAATGAAGGCAAAGGAATGAGGAATAAAGATGTTGTAAATACAGGGAGAAGAGAATAGATGAGGGAAAGGCGCAACTACAAAGTAGGGGTGGATGAAAGGGAAAGATAAGAGAAACTGAATTGTTAGGGAAGAGAGGAAGTGACCATCTATATATAATAGTTCGTTTTGCGTTTGATGCTTTTTACAGAAAGGTTGTTTTTTAATTACTGTGAACTGATGTAAGACATGGAAACATAATTATTTATGTTGTATTCACTGAAGACAACAGCAAAACTCTAAAGATGTTATGACTCAAGATTCCTTGATACACTGTCAAGTTGGAACTCTGCTGAAAAGATTGTCTCACAAAATCTTTGCTTTTTCCCTTGTTTTTCTCTATATGGTTATTTCGCTTGCTCCCCAAATCCTAATGTAATTAATTCCATGTTGTATTAGTTGAACAACTATCACATTTATAAGTCACACGAAAAACAATTACTTAAATATGCCCCGAGTGAGATTATACGTTTCAGGCTAATTAATGTGGTTGCCTCAGGAGGCTAGTGATCGAATGCTCCCAAAACACCATTGAATTTTGCCTACACAATTATTTATTTATTTATTTTTGTCACCACGAAGGAAGGGCTATTCTTTACCTGTCAAGAATGAGGCTGAAAGGATTTATTAGCACAGCTAGTACAGCCGATAAGGCTTTTCCCTGGAAAGTAAAAGGGGAAAAGATAGATCAATTTGAACTGTGTCATGCAAATGGCCTCTAAATAACCTTTTGCCAGCAATATTTGACTCAAACAGATAGGGACCAGGCAGCATAATGGGAGCTTTTTTGGTATAGCTGGTGTTGTGTTAGTTCTTTAAAGTGTCTCTTCTAACATGCCAGATAAAGAGTGAATCATTCCATGATTCATCTGAGACTTTGTTTACAATTTATGAAAAAAAAAAAACACACTGTAAATTGTGGGTGCCCTTTAGGTTAGGTTAGGTCAGAAGATAGTCATCTTTGTGTTTCACTCTGAATAACGCTTTGATCCTCTCCTCTTTCTTCCTCTTTGAAGGTATTCTGACAACAGCTAGTTTCTTAAATGCTAAAATGTTGCCCTCGCAGCAATTTGAATACACCAGGACCTCTGGGGATGCGCCAGTGGAGAAGTTAGTGTCCCATCCCATACACTTTCCCGTTATTCCTATGGCGTGTATTTCTAGGGAGGGCTGCAGTGTTCTTCCCTGACTCTGACACAGTTTGCTTCTGAAATGCCTTTCTACATGTTGCTTTACAGTGTGTGACATGCTGTATATGGGGCAAAACATTTTCAGACTCTTCAAAAGATTTTTTTTGAGGAACTTGTGTGGATCTGGCTACCAATGGAGGGCAGGAATGGAAAGGAGGGAAGGAGGAGGATGAGCTGGTTGTAACAGGTCTTTCTGTAGCATTTAGGATTTTAGCAATGTTGGACAACTCCCCACTTTGGCATGTTTACTCGTGCTAGGCAGCAGCCACTGCAATTTCACTTATTTTACACTGCAGCCTGATGAAGGGATCTGGCATTCAGTGCAGACCACATTCAGCAGCCGTTATAAAATAAATAAAATAAGTATGGATCACATCAGTGCGTGCATGACCATGATGAAATAGCAAAGTCTGTGCCTTAAGGTGCTAAACTCATGCTCGCTTGCGTTCTTCTGCGGCCTGAGAGCCACCTGCACACGGTGAGAGGAGCTGCTGAAGGGGACAGCCCCTGTGCACGCTCACGACGGGCGCCAACAGGCATAGCCTGCAGAACCCGCCTTAAGAAACAGATCTGCCCTACATGGTTGTCCGGAAACTTAGTCCAAAAGTCATGGTGGGAAACATTGATGGCAGGGCAGCTGGCGTCCAGAGGCATTTTCGCTATATAATTATTTCCTGGCAGGTTTCTCATGCAAATAGACTGAAAGTGGCCAGGGTGTTTGTTCGCCTTTGCCAGGTGCCGAGGGGCTTCATCCATTTCCTGGCCTTAGGCTTGTGGTGCTGTAGGCTCTAGCGCTGTGCACAAGGGCTATCAGAAGTGATACTCACTTCCTAAGGTACTGAAGGACTGGCCTACATTAGGAGAACCGGTATTGAGGCAATTACGTTGTCTCCTGAGGACAAGCGCTGTAGCCACAGGTCCCACGGCCTGGTTTGCACCACCTCCTGCTCCAAGCAACCTGGGGCAGCACAGGGAGTCCGTGACTACATCCGCAGCCAGGGTTCTGCACACCTGGAAATGCGAGCTGTGCTCCTACACGTAGCCCCAGCTTCCCGTTCAGCCCCAGATTGCAGCTAATTCCCCTCTACTGTGCCAGTAAAATCATGGGGTTGTGTGCTTGCTGCACCCCACATTGGGCTGGATGCTCACCTGCACTGGAGTGGTGAGCTGTCTCACTCTAGTCCTCCTTCCCCCACAGAACTAAAGCTTTTTCTTCCTCCCTACCCAGATAGGTGGTTTTTTTTCACCACTTGTGTGCTTAAAAAATCCTAAATTTCCGGGTGTTTTATTCCCTCCCTCTTTGATTCGTTATTTGCTCCAGCTCGCTGCCCTTCTTGCAGTCGTCAGCTCCTTGGAAACAGCAGAACTTGTTTACCTGGAGGTGGCAAGGAAACAAATTCATGTGCAGCAGCTGCAGACTTGCAAGAAACCCAGATTCCTCCGGAGTGCTGTTGGAAAAATGAGTCTGTGATTATGCAAACTTCTAAAACGGTTAGCTGGCAGGAGTAAAAATGTCCTTTTTATGCAAGAACCTCCACAGTGGCATTCCACTGCTAATAGTAGTGGTGGAAGGTTTGTTGTGGGTGTGTGCGTGTGCATTTTTATGGGCCTTTTCTGTAACCTTTTGTTTTTCTGTCAGCAATTTGTGGGGCTTGAGAAGCAAAGGTAAAATTGGTAAGTCTTGCTGATGTTTGGGAATATCCAGTAGGTGTGATTGTTTGAACCAAAGAGCAGAGCATGTGTGTGGGGGGCTGTTTTCAAAAGAAAGTTAACACAAAGGAAGGGGTGAATTTATGTTACACTCGTTAGCCCTAGCTAGCTGCCTGGTCCCATGATCTGCCGTGCTTTGCTAGTAGAGTAAATTACTTCATATTCACTGTGCACCAGAGGGGGGGACTATAGCAGAGCATGAATCCATACGCCGCTTCTCTCTGCAATAACCTCACGTGTAGGTGGATTGGGAAGAAACAGATTCATCCATCCTTCTATTCAGTGTCGTGGCTGATTTTTTTTGTTTTCCAGACAGTAACAATCAGAAAGCTACGGCGTGCAGGAAGGATTATAATGGCAAAACAACTGAAACCTGTGCCTTTCCCCTGGGCAGAGGCCGGTCTTGGCGCTTGCAGGATGCCTCGCTCAGCCGAGCGGCGCCAAGTGGGGACGCGCCACCGCTCAGGGAAGGGACACGGCTCAGCGAGGAGGTGCAGAAACATGGCTGGGAAAAGGGCTTTCTGCCCTTCCTCCTCCCTCCTGCCCCCAGCAGGAGCAACTTGTAAAAGCACTTCATATTTGCGTGACTTTTGCTAAGGGTTTCTTCCTCCTGTTAGTAGGCATCTCCTTTTTGTGGCAGGTAGCAGCTCGCGGCAGGCACTGCCATGTCTCTGCTGCCATGGAGGAATTTGCCCTATATTTTACACTCTTGAGTGAGACACTTTGTGCACGTTTTGCCATTGGTGTCTTGGAGACTGAGGAGGATAACTGCTTGGCACGATGCAGCCTTCACATGTGCTCCTGAGAAAATAGCGTGAAAGGGTGCGGAAAGGGAGTGGAGAAACAGGACTTAATACATAGGTTTGGTAATGCAAACACTATTGATAGTAGTCACGGGAATACTGCATGTTAAATATCCTTTTTGTTTTCTCCATGCTAGAGTTTGGGCACAGTGTCTTTATTATTTATACCCACAAAGGTAAAAAGACAAGTGTCAAAGCACAGAGGAGGCTGTGAGTGAAAACAGGCTGTGAAACCTCAGTGCTAGTTTTACAGAGACCACTGACAGGCAAATGCAGAAGTCTGTAAAACAGATAGTAGAAAAGTGTCAATCTTAAACTTTTAAAAGAAAAAATAATTAGAAATAACCAAGAAAAATCTTACATAGCTTCAGTTAGTTGAGGAGAGCTACTATGAGTGATATAAAAGGCATTGCTTTGAAATTGCATTAAAATAAAAGATTCCTGTGCGTATGTCTGTATATGTGTGTTTGTGATTTATTTGTTTATTTTGACCAAACAATCTGGTTTGATGTAAACAGAGTCAGGGACTGTCCAGCGATGTACCTTGAAAACATTGTCACTGTTACATAATTCATTAAGGTCATGCTGGCATTATATATCTCTCTTCCTACAGGCTGTGGATTCTGAATCAAAGTACAGGTTCGTAGGAAGCTCTCTTCAGCCACCAGATAAAACACTTCCTGCAGCCTTTGCTTCTAAAGAACCCAAGAAGTTGGCGGCTGTTGCTGGTGACGGGCTATCACCTCTCCCCAACAACCAAGGTAAAGCCAAAATATATCCATAAAGTGGTCTTTTTAATTGTTCCATGTGAAATCTCTAGAGCAAACTCCCCATTCTGTTTTACTCTGTTCAGTGACCTGCTGTGATTATTAGACTGACATTGAGACAGGATGTATATGTGTCCTGAGGGAGTAGTCCCTGAAGTCATACGTCTGGAATGGAAACTGCCGTGGGGCTTCGAACATCCTTATAAACTTTGGCTTTGAAAATTGTTTAACTTTAAAATTGTCAGACTTCCTCTGAAAGCAAAGGAGAATGTTTCCAACTCATCTGAAGCAGTTCATGACTAAAACGACAACAGAAGTTTATTAATGTGCTCCTCTGGCTTGAGGTTGGGCATACATGGTATTATTTAACTCCCTCTAGCTTAAAATTACTTTTGAGCTTTTTGTGTGGTATGATTTCTTGAGAGATCTTGTGAATAAAACAGTCCTTCAGAAAACAGGTATCAGCATATTGGTCTGTGGGAAATACGCACTCAGTTCTGTTACATTTGCAAGTTATTTACTCTCAATACCATAATGAGGCAGTGAGGAGTAATACCACGTGCTGTTTCACGCACAGATACTCAGTCTACCTGAAAGGCCAGATTTACTGCACAGAGAGAAAGCCACTCTGTTTTTTCCTTAATTAGCTTAATTGAGTTTGGGAGGTTTTATATTAAAATGCGCAGTTTAATGCCGTTACGAGTTTAATGCTCTTTGCTGAGTATTCCTCCACCCAGAATACTGGTATAGAGAAAATATTGCCGTTTGGGAAATGTCAGAAAAGACATTTCACTTGTTACAGAACGTACCTTAGGCATCCACAAGTATATCTGGTTTCTGAAGACCTGATAGACTTTCTCTTGTAATTGAAGTTGGAACGGTGATTTTAGTTTTGATGTAGTTTTCACTTTTCTTTCAATTTGAGGCTAAAAGCAAAATCTTGCACGTTCATTCTTATGGTTTAAAATATTACTTGATGCCAGAAGTTTGAAATTTGAATTGTTACCTTGTTACCTTTTGAAACAGCAAAGTCTTTAGAAGGCACCCTCTACTAAAACATTCCTTTGTGTCTCTTTCCTTCCCTGCAGTGTCCTTATTATCCGTCCAAATCAGCTGCACTACATCCAAACTCGTGAGCTTACTTTGAAACCTCTTCTCCCTGCTTCTGTGCAAGCAGATACTCATACTCCTAAGTGCTAGGCTTTGTCCTATTTAATTTCGTATGATTTATTTGTGCTTACTGACATTTATGAAAATAGCTTTGCTCATAGAACTCGTGCTTTATAGCTCAGTTATATAGCATTTTTTTTTCCTAAATATGTTTTGAGTGTGTTGCTTTGTTGGGAAATATCATTATTCACTTTAGGGGAGATCCTAGGAAGAAAGTCGGTATAGTGTTTTGTTCATTGAAGTGCTTTACAGAAACAATAAGAAAAAGGAATTGTTGTAAGAGCTTAGAGTGTAACTGCTGCGTTGTTTGCTAGCTGTGGTGTCGGCCCTGAAAACCCTTCAAGAAAAGATCCGCCGCCTCGAGCTGGAGAGGTCGCAGGCAGAGGATAATCTGTGCAGCCTCTCTGCAGAAGCTGCTCGGTATAAGAAGGCCTTAGAGCAGGAATCCTACAAAAAGGACATCTCACATCAAGAACTGATGCAACAGAGGAAAGGTATTTCTCTGAATCATAAGGAGGAGTCGCAACAACTCAAAGACTATGTAATCCAGGGAATGCTTATTTTGGCAAGTTGCTAATTAACACCATTTCCTATCCCTCTTTTTTTTTTTTTTTGCTTCAGAATTAGGCAGGTGTATAGTCCTGCCTGATAACTGTAAATCCAATTTTTATGTATATTAATCAAATAGTGTTTACCCCATGATGATGTTTTAAAGAAGGAGAAAATTTCAGGTGATATATTTAACTCCTACAATAAGCAAACAGCTGTTTACCTGGATAGCACTGCTAACTTGAGAAGAAATGAGGGGAAAGGAAGAAACCAAATTCGGGTTAGGTATCTACTGGTATAAATGAAAGTAATTTCAGTGCTTATACCTTTGGAAATCATATTAGTGTCTAGCTCCAAAAAAGCATCCTGGTTTTTATGTCTTGTATAGAATGTGTTTTTAACTATGTGTCTTATTCCATCCAACAAACCTTACCTTTCATGTTTTGGGGGACTAGAGAGCTCTTCAAAAGAATTGACAGACTGGCTAAATGTGTGAATGCTGTTGCTGTACTGAATGTCTCTGCATCTCTCTGTAGATGTAAGTGTGCAGTTAAATGCAGCACAATCCCGCTGCTCCCTGCTGGAGAAACAGCTGGATTACATGAAGAAAATGGTTTCCAGTGCAGAGATGGAGAAAAAATTGGTTTTAGAACAGCAGGTGAGGCTTTTAAACAAAACTAACAAAGTAGTAATGCAGTGCAAAAGTACAGAAATGTGTAAGATTTAAATTGTTTGTCCCTCGTTCTTCCTCAGCTCTGCTCAGGTTGACAGCAAATTAGCAATTTACTATCTGATTTGCCAATGCCAACCATTCAATGAATTGTACAAAAAGACTCCCTGGGTGGAATTCCTGATGAGCACAATCATGTCAATACCTGCATATTTGGTAGACAAAGAGACTGCCAGAGACTTGAGTTGTCTCTGTCTGGCTAGTATTTTTCATCACATTGTAATTTAAAAAAATATGAAATTTAAACTAGGTAGAAATATTTTCTGTGGAGTGTTTACTATTTTACTGTCTGAAACAATTTCAGTTGGCTACCAACTCAACTTCTGCTTACTTTTTTCAGACCAAGCTTCAGAAGGAGAAAAATCAGAACCGGGTGGAGTTGCATGCGAAACTTGAAAAGCTTGAAGTGCTAGAAAAGCAGTGTCTTAAATTTACTGCTACTCAGAGGATTGCAGAGGTAAGCAGGCATGAAGTGACAGTCTGAAAGTCATTCATGTGATATGATTTATATGGCATAATGTTAATAGTCCTAAGTTTTGCAGAGGTTTCCTCTGCTGGAGCTATGATAATACAACACACCTTGTTGAGTGCCTCCTATCTTGGCTTCAAGAGCTATGATAATACAATGACAATACAATACAATAATTGTTGAGTGCCTCCTATCTTGGCTTCATTTCTCTGTTTTTTTCATTCTGGGCCTTAAGGAAGACCCAGAACAGTCCTGTTTTATCCTAGATTACAATTGCAAGCAACTTCATGCTTCTGATTCAGTGTGACAGACTGAAGTGTGACTGAGCATTTTGCCTTCAAATTCAGGACAAGATCAAACACTTAGAAGAAAAGCTTTGTAAAGAGGAACATCAGCGCAAGCTAATGCAAGACAAAGCTGCTCAGGTAGATTGAAAAGGCTTTAGTTTATCTTTTCTTGTTACTAAAGTAAGTTACTCTCCCTGTTTTTTTTTTTTATTACTTTAAAATTCCAAATGATGATTAGCTAGGAAGAACTCCTACAATGCTAGTTGGACTGAGTAAAAGCTGTGTAACAGAAAACTTGTCTGATGTCTTGCAGGTCTTGCTCAAGGAAGATTCCAGTAGTTGTTGTTGTTAATAGTACAGTTCATCAGCCACAAAGCTGCTATAAGTGATCTGAGTAGAAAATGAATTTGTAAACAAACTGCAATTAAATCAGATAACTTTAGCTTACAGCAATTAGAAAGAGAATCATATAAGAAACCAACCAAGTAAGGTTGGTTGTTTTGTTTGTCTTCATCTTTTGAAGATTTGCTGGAATCTGATACACTGGATTATTCTTGGAGAAGTCTTGCATCAGTGGTACTGTTACACTGTTTGTTAAATGAGAGTTTGAATAGTTCACTGTTCGATGAGTTCATAGTCTGTTCCTGTGGGGCTAGCATCCAAATGAGAGAGGAGTATTGCCCAGGGAGCAAAATCAAAGGAAAACTGTGACCTTTTCTAAAAGGGGCAGAGTGACTTCAGGTTTTCTGACCCTCACTTTGTGAGAAGTAGCAGGCAATCTGAAAGAGGGCAGTTTGTGGTGACATTCCCAAGGGAGGGATGAAAGCTGAAGAATAATATTATAAGAACCTAGCTGTAAGCACAGCAAACAGCTTAAATTAATTCCTTATTGCAATCACTTTCTATAAGTCTTCCAAAACCCATTGGCTTTCATCAGTCCAGGACCCTTGAAATAACACGCAGATTATAGCTCAGAGACATGACCATCTTCCAACAGAATGCCACAGCTGAAAAGTTGCAGTTTTGGGGGGTTTCTTGAACTATTTCTGTTGCCACCGAGCAGAAAGCCTAGTATGGAGATTTCATCTTCTGAGAAACATAGCAAGAACAACTTTCCCAGCGCAGATAGTCTGACCTTAGCAGTAGTATAAACAAGCATTCCAGAAAGAACTTCAGTGTAGTAAACTGAGTCCTAAACGAGTGTTGCTCCTACCTAAGTTCTCTGCCGGATTGATTTTGATTTGTTGGATCTCCTTGGGGAAACAGTAGGTGGACGGTGGCTGCTTCAGCATCCTTTTGACAGTAAAGTCAGAATACTCTCTCATTAGTTGTAAACTTCTAGCACTGTTCGTCCAAGTCTGTTATACATGCTAAAACACAGTCCTTGTCGTATTTTTAATTGGAATGGATACTTTGCTTACTTATAACTTGTCTTTATATCAACTAAAAACTGCAGAGCAATCCCTGGATTGTCCAGCAGTGTTACATGGATGGGCTCAGTTCTATCTGCCCCCAAATTGTAAGATCCAAATGTTCATGCTATCCAGGATTTTATGAGCACACCCCTAGCATGCAGCAAAATTGGCTTACTCAGTTGCTAGGTGTCATAGCAGAGGAATACATCAACTGCAGCTGGATATGAAATTAGGAATTTCTAAGGCAGTACTGCCAGATTTGCCTAGTGCCATGCCACTCTCGTAGTCTATTCATTCTTTTGTAACATAGCTTATGCTTCCCAAACAGAAGAGCTAATAGTGCCCTTAATTGATTCTCATCCATGCACGAAGGAGGGCATTAATCAGACCATGTGATTTCAGACTTCTGGTATTACATTAAATGATTCCTTTTTTCTGCTTTTTCTCACAGCTTCAAGCTGGATTTGAGGTAAATAGAATGTTGTTGTCCTTGGTTTCGTCTCAAAATGAACCCAAAAAGGAAAGGAGAAAGAAGAAAACCAAGAAGGTAACATGACAGTTTGCCATTAGCATAGTGTTGCTGATAGGATCTCACTTGCACCGAGAGAGGAATTTGCAAAAAGTGGTGACACAAGAGGCCCTGGGTTTGTCTGCAGTGCTTTATTCCCTTTCCAGGGGAAGAGCAGCACTGAATACCTCTTTCTTCTAACCTCCCAATCCTGTCTCGTAATTAAAGTTGGAATAAGGCTATTAGCACCCTCACCAGCATGACAGTAACCTCTGTTACAGTTTTACTGCCTGCCTCCTTGTCCTGTCTTAGCTGTTTTGCAGTTTATCTGGAAAAAATCAGTTCCAAAACCAAATTGAACTAAGCAGTTTTAAGATGGTGTGTGGAGGGGGGAATGTTGAAATCAAGAGAATTCATTTAGCAACACACATTACATGTTGGTCAAAATTTTGCAACTCTGTTTTTGCAAACCTAAGTAAGCAATGCCCAGTTTCTAATGTTAATCTATTTGTCAAGCTATCTGCTAAGTGCATCTGGAATAGAATTTACTTAGTTGTTATTGTTGGAAAATCCTACTTCTTCCACATATGGGATGGATTTTTTTTTTTAAGAGGGAAACTAAGATGATGCATTTCACTGCTTGTTTATTTGAATTTTACTTTTTTTCTGTTGTTTTTTGGTAAGTTCAGGATTTTACTGTTGGGCCAGCACATTGATATTTCTTGTCTTTTCCTTTTTTTCTTACAGAAGAAAAGTCCTGCTGGGAAGAAAATGTGTCTCCGACAATTTCATGTTAGGGCTGGTGTGCTACCTTTCGTGGCTGGGAAGGTGAGTATAAATAAATGTTCTTACTAAATTGGCATCTACAGCTTTAATAAGTGTCTTCATTGAAGTTTTTTCTCACTTAATAATTCTTCTTTTAAGTCTGCCAGCTCCAGCCATTCTGTTAGTGCAAATGTACAAAGCGTGCTGCATATTATGAAGCATCGCAACCCTCGTTTCTCATCACGAGGCGAAGAGGGAGCTGCAACTGGAATTTCAAGACAAACTGTTGCTTCAAAGTCTGTATCTTCTTGTTCCACGTCATCTACTGTCACCAGAAATCTTTCTGACATTCTGTTGGCCATAGAAGATGAGCTGGGCCAAATGAGCTTGTGAGTAATCTCTGGTATTAGGAGTGACTTCAGCTGTAGCCCTGAGAAGTGTCAGGCAGGCTGTACTTGAACCTGTTTGAGGTGTTGGGCTGTTAGTGGAGAGAATAGTCTAAGCAGGTCTGATTAATAGGATTTTTCTCATTTGGGAAATCATTTTTGTTCTGGTGATAGTTGATCTTGTGAGCAAGCAACATTCAGCAGGGTTTCTTCTCCTTCCACATCCTGTGCTTAACCCTCTTTCTGCTAAGGGAACAGCTACAGCAAATAAAAAGCCTTTCATGTCTGAACTTGTTTTGATTTTTTAAACATACTGTAAGTTCTACCAAGTCCACCAAGACTGTTCTGCTGGAGAAGGCTGCAAAGGTTGTCCTAGCATTGAGTAGGCCTGCAGCAGGCCGTCGGTTTGGGAGCCCACATAGGTCATTGCAGCAGTGGTAGGAATAATCTTGTCACAAAGTCTAACCTGTGTTGCTGTGTCCTCACTCTTCCTGTGCTGCCTCCACACTAGCCTGATGCTTATCTGATCCTTGTGCTGAGACGCTCTGGGATTTGTTCCCTATCAACAGCAGGAGAACTTGCCAGTCCTGTAATGGGGCTGTGAAAGAGGGACACATCATCCTTGCCACCTGACAGGGAAGTGGGCAGAGCCTGGAGAGGTTAAAACACAAGACAGGAGTAAATGTATCTTTCAAGCCTTACAAGTGGGTGTGGATTTCAAGCAGCCATGCTCTTAGTTGAACAAGGGATGTGTTGGTTAAACCAGTTACGACCCTGGCACTGGTTTAAAATCCTTGATGTCCCTTTTGGCACTCAATAATCCTTGGTACTCCAGGCTTCCTACATATAATCCAAAGTGTGTATTGAGCTTCTATTAGGATTTCCAGATTCCCATCTTAATAACAAAATAAAAGTTCTAGTCTGTCATCCTAAAAGCTGTGGATTATTTGATACTGTCAGCCAAATTCTTCTTTGAAAAGCACTTGTGTTTTTACTAATGAAATGTCAATCCAAGGGCAGAATTTTTATTTATTTATTTATTTATTTTAAGATAGAAACAACCAGTCACTTCAAATAAATTGGCAAGGAGCAACACTTTACTCAGAAGTCAGAGAAGAAGCCATGATCTCTGCATAGAGATTATTTATATAAGGCCTTATTGAGAGGTCTTTCCTGTATTTTGACTAGTACAAAGATCCAGATATCAAGTACATTTAGACTATTCCTTTTCATTAGCTCCACAAAGCAGCTCACCTTGCAGCTGGTCTTTGAGTAGAATCTTTTAATTGGAATGATCTGTCAGAAGAACTATAATTTAAAATGTAGTAGTTTAAAGAAGGGCTTTTTTTGTTTGCACTAAACTGGGCAGGAGGTGAAAATACTGCATTGCGTAGCTACTGTTGGCTTCTGTTCACTTTCCAAATTCTCATTTTGCACAGTGTTACACATGTACTTGTTATGATTGTGGCTAGTGAGGAGGTTCTAAGATGCTCATGAGCTAAATATTTGGAATAAGAAAATCGGACGCAATGGAAAAAGCTTCTTCCTTTCTACTGTGAATATATTCCAGATGAATGTGTATTGTGTGAGACAGTAAATAATGCTAAGTCGTTGTATTCCAGAGGAGACAACTAGCAACACACACAGTAAAACAAAAGTATTGGAGTAAATCTTTGAGGCTATATAATGAGCACCTTTTTTTTTTTTTTTTTTGTGTGTGTGTGTGTGTTTGTCTTTAACAGTGAGCATAAAGAACTCTCAAAGCAGATACAGGAAACTCACAACTCTGAAGTTTGCGAAGACTTAGAACGGCAACTGGATTGCCTTGTAAAAAAAATGGAGATTAAAGGCGAGCAAATATCCAAACTAAAAAAGCATCAGACTAGTGTAAGAAAAAATGTAAGCTGTCTAGTTAGTAACACACTAATTTAATAATTGCTACAACTCTGCCTCCTGTTGTCATTAATTAAAATGTCACTGTCGTCTTAAGCCAGGGTGTTCAAATATAGGTGACTTAAAATTAGATTGCTGAGTGGTTTTGTACCTCCAGTTACTCCCTTTGATTAAGAAAATGTGCTTACAGTTGACAGCCAGATGTGTATGCTGGCAGGGTAGCTTCTGGTCCTGGGGCACATCTGCAATACAGGAATGAACAAAACAGAAGCTCTAATTCCTATACTGCTTATGCGTCTTTTTACATTACTGAAATACTGAGGCCTTTTATTAACCAAATATTTTGCTGAATGCAGCTTCTCTGTAATCATAGTTGGACAAACCTTTGTCTCTTTAACTCTTAAACATATGCATCCTAACAGTGTTTGTTACAGATCCATAGGCAACAGTGTAGCATGCATGGATGCCCATATGAAATCTGTAGGTGAGCTGCTTAAACCCCTTGTAGCAGCTTGGCTTGGAATATGTGATAGGAAATACAACCCACGGTACCATCTGATATTTTTCCGCTCCTCCATCTGATGTTTCAGGATAAATAGGTACATCTAAGAACTTCGTTTGCATAGGAAACAAAACAAAACTGTGTGAGACCTTATGGAAGGGAAAGATAATTAAATATTATCTTTATTTGTAAGTAAGTACTTTAACTATAAGTTAGTAAGACTATAAGTAAGTCTATTTCACTTGCATTTATTCTTTGATAAATTTTATTGCCCAGACATTTTTTGTCCACATGTTTGCAAGCACCAAGATGGTTATGTCAAAACAGTCTTGCCAGGGTCACATGTTAGCGACATGGACATAGGCCATTGACTATGGCCTGTCTCACATGGGTTCCTCTTGCTTGGCAATGACGACTGTTTTTTTTGGATAAATCTTGCTAACTCTCAAGGAGTCAACAATTATTACAACATGGTTCTCCGAATCTCAGAATCTTGCTGGCTTGAATCCCTCCATGAAGCCTAAGATAACAGGCAGCAAGAGCACCTTTGTGTCTTCATTTTACATGTCCTCAGTTTGCCTTCCTCTTGCTTTTGGGGATGACAGGGGCACGAATGGCACGTCGTCTGTGTTGTGGTGTGCCCTTATCGGAGCACATGCCTTCTGGCCCTGATGTGAACAGCACATTCTGGTGTTTATCTGTTTGGCTGCTGCCCGTGATGACCTGGTTATCGATACAGAGCACTCCTCTAAGCCTTGCTCTATATTGTTTCTTCTGGTGCTTACATGCACAGACACTTCCAGTTGTCCTCTGCACAGGGCAGTCATTGTATTTCTGATACAAATTTCTGTATTGTAAACCTTTCACATTGAAAACACTGTAGCCGTCTCTGTATTTGACAGTTAATAATATGTTCCTGAATGCAATTAAAGCTACTCATTTATAGAAATGGACTTGAAGCCTAAATTGGCATGTGGGACACTTCCAGCTTATTTCTATCTTTAGCAGTGACCTTTTCATGCCAAATATGAGTCAAGGCATTCTCTTGTCATTTTTTTAAAAAAACACATTCTGTGGTAATTCAACCATATTTATTCTGTTATGTATTTTGCTAGCAGCCTTCCAAGTAAACTACTTAGAGTAACTGATAAGATATAGTATTCATCGGTAGCTTTCCTTTTTGATTAGAGTAAATTTCCATTTGAAATGGAAAAAGCCAGTGATAAACAGAAAGTGGTGATAGCAGATCATATTTCAGGCTCTCCTTTACAAATCTTGGAGAGTGTGTATAAATGTGTGTTTTTGAGGTTCAACCACCTGTTGATTGTGAGCGAGCTCAATTTTCTGTTTCAATAAGAAATTATACACTTAGTAGAAAGTAGGTTTTAGCATTTTTGAAGGAGTGTGTTACACATCTTGAATTTGGTTGAAATCTGGTAAACTATACATCAATCTGTTTTCTGAACATGTAACATTATAATGGTAATCTTTCTTTCTAGGTCCAAAAAATAAAGCAGAAAATGCAAAAAATGAAGCAAGAGGCAGCACACATCAAACTAAAATGTGGTGACCAAAAGGAAACAAAGGAAAGTCAAGTTGCTATAGGAGAAAGTAAGTCTAAGGCTTGCCCTGGGCAGAAAAGCAAGAGCTCTCTTCAGCTCTTAAAAAACGTGCAGAAACTGCAGTCTACACTGAAAAGAGATGATATCATGTGGGAGCGATAACTGTAAAATCTTCCATGTTAAAAGCCTAGTCATTTATTAACTAGTCATTTTTGAATTTCAGTAAGTGGCTTTTAAAAATAAAATAGACATAGCATTTCACATTCGAAGCTGCCTGGACACTAGTAGGTCAGTTAGTTTGTTCACCTCAGAATCAACTTCCATGTAGCCTGACTGTAGTTCCACTACACTGACTTTTAATAAAGCATTTTTAATGTATTTATAAGGTGCTTATTAATGTGTCAAATAAAACTTGATAGCTGTTTTACACTTAAAATATTATGCAATCTGTGAGTTTTCCTTTGTACCCCAAAGATACCTACACTTTGCTTTTCCAGTGCAACCAGTGCTCCCATTCAAATAAAAGGGAAGGGATTTTTTTTCTCTAACTGAAGAGTTGGATCATTGCAACTGAAGCTGAAAAGGGTGTATTGTCTCCTATTTATATTATTGTTATTATTATTACTACTCTGTAAGCTTTACTGATAGTGTTAATAGGCTCAGGACTTGCGATACTGCATGTGACATGAGAAGGAAACAAGAGGGTTAAGGAGCAGAGGTGGATACGCAAAAGGCAAGGAGGGAGACTTGTCAGGTTTTTTGGCTTGTTTGGAGTCTTTCTTTCCAAGGCAATGGTTATAGCTCTGTAGCATTTCTTTCCATCAAGCCCCAGGATGGCTCAAGGGAGAAAGAAAAAAAAAGGCATTTTCAGAAATGTACTTGCTGTGTTGCAAGTGCTTTCAGTGTACAGCTCCACTAGCTGTAACATTTAACTGAATGGCTCCATAAAACCTTCCGTAGCTTCCTACAGGCTCAATTCTGCCTTGGATGAGGCATGATTACAGCTAAAGCATGGAAACATCCTTATACTCATGATGATTTTCCTGAGTGTTCACATATGGTAGAGAAAAATATCTTTCATATGATGGACTAGTGAGATTCTGCTGTTGATCTCTGATACTAAACGAAAATAGTGTTTTTTTCAAGTCCCTGTGTAGATTAGACAATAAAAATTGGAGACGTGCTCTGATGTCAAGGGTTTCAATAAAAACTAATAATAGCACAGAGTTTTAATAGAAAGTTGCTTCTTTGGATAGCTTTTGCTCTGGCAGCCGTTAGGAGAAAGACTGCATTTTTTTAGACAATAATTAAAATTTGAAATAAACTGTTTTAATCTTTAACAGAAGTTCTGTGTGTGGGCTTTGTGGGCATGTGGGGGATGGTTGTTTATTTGCTTGTTTTTTACATGCCCTAAGCATTTTTATCAGAGCAGTAGAAGACCAGGTTGCTTAACTGATATTTGGAGACAGATTTCTCACTCTGTTTAAATTCTCTAGAAATCTTTCTTATTTATGGATTATTTCTAGCCTAGAAAAACATGTTGTACACTTAAAAGCACTTAAACATACTTCTAAACGTTTGTGTAAAGGTGTCCCTAATGTTGCTTTTATTTGGAAGGTGTCTATTCAGTGTTTGAAACAGCATTGCATTTATTTTTCCTGATACAGAGTTTCTGAAGTAGATCTATGCTTTTCTAGACACTGGAATCATTGATAAGGGAGACAAAATAAAGTCAGTAATTCTTCCAAAAATATTTGCATTTTTTTATGCATTTTGCTTCTACGAGATAAGCTTTAACGTTTCCTACAGGTAGCTAAATAATCTCTAAAGTTTTGTATGCGTTTGGGCATGAAGGGGCTGCATCATGATGGTCTTTCTTAAAGGTCTTTTCCAACCATAATGATTCTGTGATGCTCTATCCTGGGGACCCTGAAAGCATTATATCTGAGCTGGAGATCCATCCCTAGACAAGGTTATCAGAGATTGACTGAGACAGAAAAGATTGCCAGGATTTTTCCCCAAATGCATAAAAATCAGGTGAAGAACTTTGTGCTGTGGCAGCTCAGTGCAGGGGGTTGCAATAGGGACAGCAGGGCCCGTCCGGGCAGGTAAGTGGCACAGGAACCAGCTGCTCCGTCTGAGCCTTGGTGTTTTTGTTGACTGTAGCAACCCACATAGTTTTGTTGATTATGGCAAGGCCATTTGGCAGCGCAGCTGGAGGAGGAAGCCCCGCTCTCTGCTCAGTGGCCACGGTGGAGGGCTGGTGCCTTTGGGGCAGAAAGCCAGCTACGGTATGGGACCGTGCTTACAAGGCAAAAGCACTGAGTAGACAGTCTTCAAAATGGGCATAGATAATTTGGATCTTTGGCTGACTTGAAGTGAGGAAGCTGAGCTAAAAAACCTGTGTAACCCAGAGCCAGGAGCTACGATTTGAGAGGGAAATATATGAATGGGCAGAAAGTATATGGAGTCTTGTGTGTCTCTTGTAATTCAACTTGAAAAAAATTCATTGCATTTTAATAACTTCTTTCCTGCTTCTCTTCTGGAGCTGTTTCCCTAGTGTATATGTTTCACCCAGTAAAGTTATGTAGATGCACTTCAGCGTGTGCTGAGAGTCAAACTGAATATAAAGAGATTGCATTCCTGAAAAAAAAAATTTCTTTAGCTTGCAGAATCACATAATATTTGTTTTCAGATTGAATCTCAGTATCGGGGGATGTGGAAGACCAGATTATGTGTTTGTTTATTAGCACATTCACAGTCTGAGACAGTTATCAACCTCATAAGATTAAGTCTTCAAAAAAATAAGCAGCAAGGAGTAGTTGGGCAGAAACTTAAGTGCTGAAGTTCACCTTGTGCATCAACTCTTTGCAAGATTCAGGTCCCGGGAGAAGGAGGCACTCAGATCCTAGTGAGTTTTGCTGGGATCTGAATGCTTCACTTTTTATGCTCTAAAAAGGCTCTGGCCTTGAACTCTGTAAACATATATTTGGAGAAAGCGTAGTGGTTAGAGCAGTCGTATTTACAAGAACAATATGTTTTGGCAAAGTAAGTGCTTGCTCTGCTCTTCCCCAGATCCTTGTTTTGATTTGTATCTTCCATGTTTTTGTTTGTTTTCTCAGATGAAACTGTGCTTGTTTTATAAATGTTTTGAATATGACTATAAAGGGCTGCAGACAAAAACAAGCGCTGATACCAGAAAAGGACTAATTGGTTTATTTACTCCAAATCCTAGTTCTTTTATGCTGAGTTATGCAAAGTTGCCCCAGCAAGAATTACCGTTGACAACAGGTTCTGTTAGTGTTTTAATCTGAGGCTGTATTTCATGGCTGGACAGTAAGGAAATAGCACAAAAGATGTAGGTCAAACAGCATAATTAAAAACACAGAACAGCAAATTGTGTCCAACAATAGTTCACTTTCCTGCTGCTAATGAAATATGCTAGCACAAATTAATGGCTTGTTACTTAAGCCTGCTGGAAAGACTTTGTCCCAGTACAAAAGGCATTCAGTCTGCAAATGTGTGTTACGATCTTCTACCCAGCAAAACTCGAGGTTGGACATAGCTATAAATCCAGGGTATCCTGGGAATAGAAGCTGGCAAAAACACTCCTAGAAAAATATCAGGGCAGGATCTCCCTGGGATTTGGATCCTGACTAATGTAACTAACTGCAGATGTTTGTGTGGACTGAAAGATCTATTGACAGACATTTCTGGCATGGGAATAACATACAAACTCATGATCATTTTTATAGCAGAAAAACAAGGAAGTGGGAATAATAAAACATATGCTGTTATTTCTAATGAAGCATTTTCTAATTTCTTCAGCCAGCCTGTCTTGAAATGGACAAGGTTGCCTCTAGGTTATCCTCTGCTGGGGCATATTTAAAGCTTCTCCAAGTCACTTGGGCTGGAATCCTAATGCCTGCCTGAAGGGATCCCAATCCCTACCCGAAGCTTTTCATAGGCTCCCTTTATGGGACCTATAGGCTGTTTTTAGCCAGCAGAGAAAAGTAAGCATTTCTGAAAGTGTAGTGCTCTAAAGTAACAGATGAAATAGATGAGATAGATTTTACCCCAATTGTCTGGTTCTCTTTACTGACTATAAAGGAGTCCAGGGTGACCTGCTTATATGAAGATATTTCCCTTCTTCAGGGAACTTGGTCAGATAAACTCTGAGCAAACATGGAACTCTACATTTCTGGGACTTCTGGATTAGCTCCTTAAAATTTTTGATCTGAGTACTGTGGAAGTATTGGCCTGCTGATGGGTTTTGAAGCCAATGTATTACACTGCGTACAATTATTTTTCCTCCTGTTTGCCACATCAGCATCTTGTGCCTTGGCCTAAAAGTGAGTCCCTTTCCTAAGAACACTTGTGCCATAACTTTCCCATTTTGAGCGGTCTCATAGGCTTGAAAATAGGAAATCAGGATCTTAGTGATCTGTGGTTTGGGAAAAGACAGACAACAACAGGAGTCTAAGGGTTATAGAGGCCTTTTCTCTACCAGCGTGTGCTACCCACTCTCCAGTTTTTTTGCAAACCTGTTGAGTGACATATTGAAACTAGGTCAGGTTTCTGTCCCCAGTTCTCATATTGTAAAACCGCTGTAGGATTTTATTCTGCTGGTGCTTAAGATGATTTCTTTCTACAGTCTGAACTTATTTATGGGCAGTTAAACTATTTCGCCAAAATTTATCTTTAGTTTTCTGATGTTCTTTTCTCTGATGGCTCATAGTTTCTATAGGATCAGTTAATATACCCAGGTCTTTGTTCTAGCCTTTTAAATCATATCCATACAGAAAGAACTCTTACTAGTCAGTCCCCTTAATAAACAAGTACGATAGATGCTTAGTTAGTCTGGACTGATTCATTTTTGGTAAATATTTTATATTTTACCTGTTGTTATCCATGACTTTTTTTTTTCCTTCAAAATTGGTGCTAAAACCTTGCATGCAATTGGCATTTTGAAATGGTCCTGTAATTCTTAATATTTCCTCACGTTTTCTTTTTTTAAGTACATCTAGAACATTTTTGCTAGCACACATCATTTTTCTGCATTGAGATTTTGAAAATTAAGTGTTCCATCCTGCCAATTATAGTATAACAAACTATCAAATTTTGCTTCATCCTAAGAAAAGGTAATTTATATTTCTGCTATT